TGTTTTATTAAAAAGAAAGGTTGTAATGGCATCATAGAGAATRAAAGTGGGAATGGTAAGGAATATGCAGAGAATTAACAAATTGCATTAACTTGATGGCTTTAGGATCTTTATGTTCTTTTCCTGTTAAAACATATTTAATTAAAAAGAAAACTTATGGAAGAATCGTCTTCAGGCAGTTAACATTATTTGATTGCTCTAGAAAGGTTTGCCTTTTGGTGCAGCAGTAAAACTTTATAGGATGATTGTCTATTAAGTATCTGTCCTGTAGGAGTTGTTAAATCTGGTGTAATAAGAACTCCAAGCTTTGAGGTACTAAGGGACCTTGCCAAAATAAAGCAAAATAATGTTTTTTCAAGAAGTAGATTTATGGCCTGTTGAAAAGACTCGCCTCCTCGCTGCTCTGGCAAAGGCAGAACAATATAATTTTATGGGCTGTCTCCTTGTTTGCAAATGCATGAATTTAATCCTTGAGTAAATGAGTTCTCAGAGGGAAGGAATTGTTTTTGGAATKACACTGAAAGGATAGAGAATGTCACATGTGAAGTTGATAAAGGGTCAAAGCAGAACGTGGCTGAAACCGGCATCATGTTCCTTTAACATGAGAGAGGAACAAATGCACTGCAAGGACATTAAACTCTGCAGGCAGACTGGAAGAGAGAATGTGACCTTTTGTCCTGCTTAGTTAAAAAACCAGTGAAGCCAGCTTACCTGGGACATGGCTGTGGGTTCTGAGGATGTGCCCTTCCATTCCTTTCCTTAGGGATTTCACTGAGACATTGTCAGTGCTGGTGGAGAGCTGGGCTGTGCTGTGCTCCCCAGGGAGCTCRGGGGACAGACCCATCCCAGAGCTCTGAGAGGGTGTGGGGCAGTCACAGAGCATTCTCCTGCCTCTCTGCCTGGGGCTGCCTGCTCTGCCAGCCCCTCTCTGTGCAGGAGCTCASCAGGCAGGGAACAGGGGAGCTCAGCATCCCGTGAGCACAGGGCTGGGGAGCACCCCAGTGCTCGGCTGTTCTGGCGTGGGGTGTTTTAGAGCCACTGCAGCCCTTTTACAGTCTTTCATGGAGGGCATTTCATATTTTCCCCTGTCATTATGAGCCTGGTTGTGTGATGAGAGTGCCAAGGCCATCTGTGCCCAGCTGGGTGCTGACCACACTGGTGCCCGGGCAGTGCCAGTCCTCCTCTGCAGAAATGCTGTGCACTTTTCACGGGATGGGGAGACTCTCCTAAGGGATAGACACTTCCATCCTTTCCTCTGCCTGACTTTTTTTGCTGCTTTCCCATATTCTGTTTTATTGATGATCCTTTGATTTTTTCCTGTTTGGAATTGGAACAGGGATTGCCACAGAATGCTCACACTGCTGTTGAAGCTCTTGTTTGACATCAGCAGTGATCTTAGCAAGCAATATTCCAGTGACCAATCAAACATCAAAGCAAAATTCATTGCTACAATACCTTACTTCAGAGCTGCAGATGAAGATGTGTCTTATTTGAGAGCCTTAACAAGGCATTACTTTTGTTAATTTGACTTTTCTTTCCTGTCTCACTGAGTCAAGCGACAGATGGGTAGGGCTGAGCGGGGCTGTGGGCACCACGAGACAGTTACTTTGCAAATGTGTTTGTTCAGAGGTTTCCCTCCCAGCAAGAGAAACAGTTAAAGAAGCATATTTTTAATTTCTGTTGTTTGGTTGACTGGTTCAGCAGCCTGAGAAGACAATTAGAGCTGTAAAGGCAYGGGCACACTGCTGCCTGTCCTGCAACACCACTGGGACTGCACGTGGGGCTGATGTACTGGAAAAGTGGCATGGGGTGTTAGCCAGGATTGTTCACTGCAAAGAAATCCTTACTGATRACTTAATAAAATCAATGCTAAACCAAAATAATTAATTTTATTTGAACCATTATGTTAAGTAAATTTCCTTAAATTTATTTTTAAGGCTAAAAGATTTAATCTGAAATCCCCTTGACCTTCAAATATTTTATTACAGACCAAATATTCTTTTCACTGAAYACAAAGGGATTATTTTCTGATATCTCATCTTACTGGAACACAAAGAAGTGTCTTTAAAACATTCTGAATAAATCTGAAATTATTTTTATTTTATAATTTACCCAACACTGTTTATACATAGTGTTATATACACCTAGAACCTAATTCACAGATGAATGCATCATCCAGCATCCTATCCAATCTATTTTTCCTCAAAAATTCCCCGTTTGGGGCATGTAGTTCAAATGAAACTTGTGCCTTCTCTTAGGTTTKTCAGAAGTGACGAGGTGTTTCCTGTCTGAGATGTCAGCTTTGATCTCCAGTGTGTTTGAGCAGTGTTTTTCTGTGGTCCAGAACTCCTGCCTTTGGGGGAGATTGTCACCCTGGGATGAGGTTGTCACATCTGACAAACTTGTGTTGGTGCACAACCATGCAGCTGTAATGCTCATGTCTTCTGCTTGCCTTTTTRCCACCCTGACTCTGACAACTGCAGGGCTGCACCAGTGCCACATTTCCTTCTTTTGAGTTTCTAGTTGGATTACGTTTCTAACAAGATTGCTGTGTGACTCTGGAGGATTTTACCTCTGTGTCTCTGTTGTTGTATTCAAAAAATAAAAACAAAAGAAGGAAATTTATAACTCACCTCTTTGAAGTCCTCAAAGGCTTCCAGAAAAGTGCAAAATGTTATACTGTTATACTCTTTGGCTATAAATTTCTTTYCTTGTTACTAGGAATTCTGCAGTGTGTTAGGGCACATCGTGTCTATGTGTGTGGCCACTTCTGGTGTCAAAGGAATATATAAAATAACCTRTTTTTCAGAATATATGTCCTGGAGCCATTATTCTGCTGGTGACCTGCAGTCTGGGTAGAGCTGCTTTGGCTGCAGTGAAGTTTTCACTCTTCTGTTTTACAGCACCTGGAAGAAGGCCAGGCACTGGAGAGAGCCAGCAGGAGTTTGAGCTACTGCCGTGTGTCGGGACAGCCTGGAAATGAATGTCATTTATTCTCAGCTCTGAGAACTGAATTCCATGGGTTGTAATTGAATCCGCTGTCAGACCCATGGGGCTCAGTTCTTCAGCTTGGATATTTCTGTCTTCACATGCCCAGGAGATCAAAGAAGCTCTTGATCATTCGCTGCCTCTTCTGGATGGTGATAGAGGAGATGGAGAGGAGCAGTAATGGTGTGAATCATTGCAGCAGGGAGGGCTCGGTGCAGAGGCATGGCTGTCCCATGCTGAACAACTTGCAGGGATTGAGCTCTTCTGAGCTCACAGGCTGCTGCTGCTCCCTGTGTGATTAGCTTGGTCCTTTCCCCTCATTGGTATCAGGGTCACACATAAATCTGAGRTATTGTTGATGGGATGATGGTCCCCAAACATTGCTGGGTGATTTTCCTGTGGACACTCGTGCTGAGCACCTTCAGCCCATGGAAACCCTGGACCTTCCTGGGCTGAGCACCACTTTTGGTCACTGACAATCTGCTGTACTCTGTGTGTCCATACCACTGCTGGGCACTTGCTACTGCTTGTGCTTTGTCTTATGCCAAATACCCATTTTCAACAAAAGTTGTGACCGTAGAGAATATTCATTTGCACCAGGCGCCAGCCCGCTCATATAAACACAGATTTCCTTTCTTGAGGGTGGTAGTGTGCTCCCAAATTGTTTGGATTAGGGAGCTTCCAGTGTAATCAGTGATGGCAACGTGGTGCTGTTTGAAGGCTTGGTAACACAAAATCCCTCTAAAGGGGAATTCATTCAAGTCACAGGTTGATGATTTTTTTTTTTGGAGGACCTATGTTAAAATTTTTCATTCAGAGATCAGGAAAATAATTGTGGTCTTTAAGCTTGTAAAGAGTTATGATTACCAACGAGCTTTCCACCTCTTCCTGCAGTAATAATACCTTATAAATTACATTTTTCTAACTCAGTAAAGTGGATCATGCACTGATCTTATCCCTGTGCTACAAAGCTCTTAAAAGCATAGAAATGCTAAAATCCCACAGGTGCAGGAACAGCGTGTTCAGCTAAGTAGCTTAWAGCTGTCATGTGCTTTTCATTCTGAATATGTATTTACACTAAAAATAATCAGATATAATCACTGTTGCCTGTGGATACAGGTGTACTTTCATACCGATGTACTTTTCATATAAATTTTTATCCGAGGCGTTGAAGAGTTTCTTTGTGGTTGTCTGAGATGTGTTGTGCTCACCAGTCTAGAAATTACAGTTCTTGGAAGAGCTCACCAGTTCCCCCAGCTCCTGCTGTGGGAATATCCTTTAAACAAGACRGAGAAATGCACAAAGCAAAGGATGATACTGAAATTTTACTTTTTATTTTCCTCTGTCATTCCTGTCAGAAAGAGGAAATGAAATCTGAAGTCGGAGTTAACAAAATATGAAGAAGAAGAGAGACGAGTGGAACATATTTTAGTATGTCTGATGCAGGCAGCGTGGTGGGTGTTGGATGCTTGAAGGTGCAAAATTTCTTCCTCTCCCTTTGGAGCTCAGCCTCGGGGCAGTGATGCAGCACAGAGGGTGATGTGGGCACGGGGCTGACGAAGCCGTGGATGGATCAAGAAGCGCAGGAGTCTCTGCAGTCCCATCTCTGTGACACAAAAAAAAACAGTGCTGTAAGTAATGCTTTCCTTATTCTCAAAAGAAGCTGTGAACTAATAATAGCACTAGTGATGTTGTCTCAAASGAAGCTGAAGCAGTTAAAGCACAGTGGGGTGAACAAGTCACTGTCACGAGGTCGGGGAGCAAACACAGGGCTGCTGTTACTGGGGATGGCTCGTGCCTGTGTTCTCACTCACAGGAGGGGCCAAGGGTACCCTCAGTGGGCCAGAGCTGTGTGTGCACCCCCAGACTGGGGTTCCTCAGCCCCTACTAATTCATACAACCAGGTCACCTTACCTTTGCTGAGCTGCAAATGGGATCTCACTACCAAAAGTTGCTGGCCACGTCTGCATGGCACTCCCCAAGTGCTGGCTGTGTCTGGTGAAAGGCTGGAAACCTCTGCCTAGCTTTGGGCTCCATCTCTCCAGGAATGATGGCCCTTCACATAGGAAAACAGTCTCATAGCCTGTGTGTAACAAAAAATTAGATGGCATTTGTGTCCTGAGCAAGTTTATGTTCTGATCATACCATTCTCATGGAAAATGGTGATGGAAAAGCTGCTCCCAGAGTTCATTATTCTCAAGCCTTTTCCCTCTCACAGCTGCCCTGGATATWTCTGTGCTCTACAGTTGCTGCTGGGTGAGAGAACAGATTAAAATGAACAGGTACAGAGCTATTTTGAAAGCAGAAGCAAGCCTGCCTTTCTGCCCTGCAGTGACCAACCATTCAGCGTGTCCTTCCTTCGCTCCGGGCTGCTCTAGCTGCCTTTGAAGCTCACTTGCCCTTCATGACAAGGCATCTTCTTTTGGGATATTCTTGAGATCTTTAAACCAGACTTTAATTTTTAAAGTCCCAGACTGTCCTACTGACAGTGCTGTGCCTTTGCAGCAGAATTTGAAGTATTTTTAGCATGTGGTTTCAAACCAATGTACCTCCTGTCTGAATCATTTTGCTGCCTCACCTGTTTGTTCTGCTTCACTCTAACTGGGGCAGTGTCAGGATGGCCCAGCCTGCAGATGGAAGCAATGCAGGGTCACAGTGCTGAAGGAAAAGGGACTCAGTGGCTCCTTCCTGGGGTCTGTCAGATGTGCAATKGGTCAGGGGCATTAGTGGATGTAAGTCCTTACAAAATCCACCAGCTCCGTGCACAAGCACCAGAAGTTGAASCATCACAACTCTGGTGACTGCAGCTCTGCTGGAGGATTTATCTGTTGCTCCAAATGCTTCATTCCAAAGTGAAATTCTGATTTTTCATTGCACTTTYCTTCCTCTTGGCAGAAGTGTTCAGGTGAAGTCAGTTATATTGCTTGGTGCTGGTATAGATTTGAAACTTGTGTTTTGGCACAAGTAAAACCTTTCCTAAAAAGACTCTCTCTCTCTGTCTCTTTCAAACTGATCTATGGCACCTTCTGGTGCTTATTCACAGATCTCACTCTGTTTATTTTGTTCTGAATAAATCAATGGGCTGAATCCCCCTGGCACAGCTCTGGCAGAGCAGCATTTTGCAGATGAACAAACTGAGAGACCAAACACTTAAAATGGAGAAGCCCTGAATTCTCTTGCATGCTTGTTGCTCTTCACTTGTGTTTTTCTGCTTACTATTCACAACAAACAAACGAGGACAAACACCTACGTACTTCTTCWGGTATGAGCATGCCCCAGTGTCACCACACTGCCTGTGTGGTTGGCTGCCTCCCCCTCCCTTGACTGATGTTCTGTCCTTACTTCTTGGTCCTTGTTCCCTCCCTGCCTCTCTCAGGCCATTTCTCTTGTAGAATTTTTTGCTTTTCTCCCCTGCATATTGTGTATATTGTGTATATTGTGTATATTGTGTATATTGTGTATATTGTGTATATTGTGTATATTGTGTATATTGTGTATATTGTGTATATTGTCTCTCTCTTACTTTTTTTTTCTTTTTTCCTTTTCATTTTATTTCCTTTATTTTTTAGCACATTCCTCAGGATTATGTTCTCCTTGCTTCAAGGTAGTGCTTGAGTCTGGTGAAAAAAAACCAAACCTCGTGTGTTGGAAGGCCTCATGAAGTGCTTCAAAATGAGGATGGAAGCAAACAGCAGAGCAGCAGAGAGAGAGGAGCTGCAGCAGAAGCAGTTTTGTAGGTTTTGATGTGTTTACCTCTGCAGGTGAGGGGAGAAGGGGCCCTCTGGCATTGTCCACTGCTCCCTTTTGCTGCCTCCCACCCATCATCTTCTCCCTAAGCCCCTGCATTTCCTCCTTACCCCGTGTGTGCCTTGCCCAGTGGAGGCTGCTGAGAGGCTCAGTCAGGCTGCAGGGAGGTGTTTGCTCTCAGCAGATCATTCCAGGTGTCTCCAAGCAGTGGCAGYTCCCTGCACCTTCCTCTGGAGATGGCTCAGCCCCTGCCCCTCGGGACTCCAGGACAAGGCAGCTCTCGCCAACTGTGGCTCATCTTTTTGGCCAGCATCCCTTTGTGCTTCCAGGAAAATGATGAGTTTATGTCAGGTTCAGCAGTCCTGGTGTCTGCACAGTCGAGAGGAATAGCACTTCACTGTGAGTGTGCCTGTACAGCTTTGACAGGCTCTCTGCTGCCATGGGGAAGAGACAGCAGGGCTGCAAGCAATGGACTCACAAATGCTGACTAAGGTCACCAGYGTGCAGTGCCTCACAATCTGTTTTTCTGGCAGCCCAACCATACAGCAGGTTGTGCTTTTTTTATCTTCCRTTCCTTTCCTTTAAAAACACTCTACATGGGAAAAGTTAATGCCTAAAGATATGCAGGAAGGTCTGTCCCTTTGACAGGATCCATGTGCTCCAGCACAGAATTCTTCGCTCACTGTCATCTCTCCCTCACTCTGCTGTGCTAGCCTATTTTCACACTGGCAAAGAGATACTCTTGAAACTTACATTATAAAAGATATTTGCCAGGTTATCTTTCTGGTAGCTATCCTTGTTTTCCGTTTTCTGATCTCTTACTGCTGACCTGGAGAGGGGTGCTGGGCAAAGCCAGCAGAACAGGCTGTGCCAGGATCTCACTGAGGCACCGAGATGTGTCTGCCTGCCATCAAGTATCTAGTTCCTAAACTGAGGGACTTTTCCACCTTTTTTTTTTCCCCTTTCTATTCTGTGCTAAAGATAGTACTGGAACTGCCTCAGCACCTATGAATCATAGAACCAGGGTAGCATAGAATGGTTTGGTTTGGAAGGAATCTGAAAAATCATCCTTTTCCAATCCCCTGCCATGGGCAGGRCCACCTTCCTCTAGCCCAGGCTGCTCCAAGCCCCATCCAGCCTGGCCTTGAATGCTTCCTTGAGTACTTGGAATTAGTAAAAAAATGTAATTTGTTAGAAGAATCTGCCATGATAGGGCCTTTTAACTTTCATTTTTCTGACTTGTTTTTAAAGTTTCTGACTTTCTTCCCCTTTGTTTCTCTTTGTCTTTTACCCTAAGAATGTTGCAGCAAACAAGCATACAGTCATCAGGAAAGGAAGCTGTTTCATTTCAAGATGTGAAGGATGTTTAACATCAGATTTGAAATAAAATTACCTAGCCCAGGAGATTTTTGTACATGGATTAATATTTTTTGCCCACCTGTAAACTCCTCTGCTGTGCAGGTGATGGAAGAGCATCAGGAGCCCTCAAGCATCAGTACCCAAGCACCAGGCAGCATTTCCACTGTGCTGTGGAGGTACCTTTTAGGAGCAGGTCACAGATAAATGAAGCCATTTTTATAAAAAACAATAATCACTGGGATGGCTCTTTCAGAYTGATAACAGTATATTAAATATAGAAAAACACCCAAACCCAGGCAAGCATTTCCACCTGCTACAGACAGCAATTCAATTACTGTTGTGGTGGAGTTAAATTTCTTGGCATTCCTGTGAGAAATTTTACTCTTCATTTATTTTTGTTTTATGGACAGGGATGCAGGGTCATACTTGGCTGAGGACACAGAATGAATCTATTGGAAGTTTTCTAGGAATTTTGCCATAAGTAATTCTACAGTTTGAAAGGAGGCTCTGTGTGTTGTCCACAGTTGAGCCCTCCTCTGAACAGGTGCCCACAGTGCAGAAATGACCATTTTCTGCTCACACTGTTGCTCAGAATGCTGCTCTGCCAGTTCCAGCCAGGGAGAAACCTTACAGGAGGAAACACAGCCTCCTGATGGGCAGCAACCACTGGACACCTCTGGAGGCAGGAGCACCTAAATCCCAGCCCCTCCTCAAAAGCTCCTGCTAGGGTTTTACAGCTTCACTTGSTTTTCACATTTCCTCCTTTCTGTGTTTTCCTGTGCAAGCTCAGGCAAGGAAGAGCTTTTCTGTGCASAGAAATCTGTGGCTCTTGGGGCATTTTTAGGCCCTCTGTTGCCAGTCAAGCAGTTCATTCAGAAAGTGAACCGAGGCCACGGCACATCCCTCAGTGCCTGGGGACTGGCACCAGGCTGGGGCTTAGCAGTGGAAATTTTTGTGTTTTCCAGCATGAAAACAAAGCTCTTCTCTTGACTGAGATCTCCCGCAGTGCTGACAGCATTTGCTGGGGTGCTGCCAAATAACAAAGGATGGTATTTTCTCCAAAAATCAGAACCCSTATTAAAAGTTTCTGAGCTGTGTTTGTGAAAATCTTGGAGTCACTTGATTAGGAGCTTGGAGCTGGTCGAATTCCTTCCAGCTTTCCCACTTCACCCTCGTTTCTGTAGGATACTGCAGCTGCTCTAATGAAAAATAGTTATTTAAAMATTTGCTTGCAGCTATGGCAACCGTCATGCACTGTATTTCAATGGAAACTCTAAAACAGCATCAGAAGTTTCTTAATAGGATATTTATGAAGATTTTAGTCTTTGTACATTTCAAAATTGAAATATTCCATTTTTAAAGGGGGGGGGTTATCAAAATCTCATTAATTTTGGAAATGCTATTTTTGTTGTAAGAGCTGCTGCTTAGCTTTCTTCTTTCTTCTATTTTTCTTTCTCTTTATTTTTTATTTTGTCATTATTTTTTGTTTTGTTTGTTTTGTTTTGTTTTTGTTTGTTTTGTTTTGTTTTTTAAGATTTCTCTGGTTGCTTTAACTCTTCAGAGCCTAAGCCCTGATGCACTTTCCAAGTGCCAGCCCCTCCTCCTGTCTGTGTCTGCCTCCAAATATGTGCAGCAGACCCTGGTTTTGTACTGGAGGGACAGAACAACCCATTTGTGAGACTTGTGCTCTCAGACTCTGCCTTCCTGCAGTCAGTAACTCAGGGGGTTCACTAGCCCCTTGCCCATGTGCTCCCTGCTGTTTCACTGCTCTGAGAGAARCAAATAGTTGGGTTATTTGGTACCTCCATGGTAATTCAATGTTCTTTCWGACAGGCACAAATTTTAAGAGTGTGTTCAGTTTGCCCAGGCACAGCCCCAGCAGGTTTTAACCTCCCAAACAAGTCRCCTCAGAAGGGTTAAATTTGCAAATCTGCTATTTTTTCTTTTGTTTTCTTCCCTCTGTGCCTTCACACCTTCAAAATCACGAGGATAAAATTAAGGCAGCCTTGCTGAGACACACACTCCGCTGCCCTAAACCCCTGGAGCCATGATGATACGTTCTGGTGCCTCCGAAGTGTGGATTAGGTCTAATTAATACTGTTTCTTGATCAATGGCTTTGACACAAACACATCGAAGGGATTTATGTAATTACAGCTGTAACAGCAAGGCTTTTTGCTAGGCAGCTCCCAGTGCTGCAGCGGGGAAGTTTGCTCCTGCTGATGGGATTTTTGTCTGCTGGTGACTGGCTGCCCCATCAATCTTGAGTTTTTGTTTGTTTTTCTTTTTTCCTGGGCAGGTTTGAGGCTCCTGGTTTGCAGTGGAAGATGTGTGAGATGTGGGCAGGCATTTTCTTCAGCTGCCACAGGTAACTGAGCACCRGCACCTTTTGTCTGATTGCTCCTGACCCACACGGTGAAATGTTCATTTTTGGAAATGCCTCTCAGTAGGTTATAATGAGGGGATGTTTCCAAGGTATTCAAAGAGGATTTTTGTGTTTCTTTATTCTAATATTTAAAAAAAAAGAAGGAGCTGAATTGACCACTTTTCTCTCAATACATCTGAGAGGAGACAGGCAGAGATGTGACATATTCAACTCCCTCTCGCCCTCCCATCCTGTGTTTTGCAAGGCTGGCATTGTCTCCACTCTCCTGTGGGTAAAATGGATTGCAGGGTTGGATCCATCTGCCCTGCCCATTGCTGCTGTCTCAGATGAGACAGTACCAGGACAGAGAAGAACATCTGCCTGTTAGACAGGGCTCTGGAAGTGGAATTGCAAAGGAGATTAAATTAAATTATAGAACCTTGCAGTCCATTGACTGCGCTAAACCGACTACACTTTAATTTAGGGTTGTGAAACTCTAATGGGGCTTGGAAAAGCTGCCAAAGGGGCTGGAATTAGATCTGTATTGGAATGGGGAGTTTCTGATTCAATAAGAAATTAGAAGGATCGAARAAAATAAGAGTGTGTGGGATCTTTAGGAGTCCTCTGGTTGAGCCCATGCAATGTGCTCAGGGGCATTCACACACAAAATTCGCAGGCCAGAGAGAGGAAGTGATGTTGGGTTGATCTGCTTCARGAAGATTTGTGCCCTGTAAAAATTRACKTGCAGATGGCAGTACACCTGGGCTTAGGTTTCATTTCAATTGGAATTTTCTCACCTTTTAGGACAAGAAGGTGTAGGTAATYTAACTCTTTTCAGCAATTCTGAAATTTAACTACAAAACTATAATGTTTTTTGCTACAAAACTGAAATGGAAGGAAAAATGCAGTTTGGAAAAGAAACAATAATGTTTGGTTTGTTCTATAGTTTCCCATTAAAAAAAAAAAAAATCCCTCCCACAACTTGAAACGTGGAACCAAATTTTGTCAACAGTTCACAACTGGAAGGGATAACCATAAGCTACAACTTATGAAAGCTGTTTTCAAAAACTGTTTGAAGGAACCACTGAATTGTTGCACCTTCTCAGCACTCTCTCAGTTGTGCTGTTGCTGCCAGAGCAGCTTGTGGCTGCTCCCATTGCTCTACCTGTTGCACTGATGGCCTGGTGGAGCTGCCAGCACCAGCTCTTGCAGGATATCTTACACTTWAAAAAAATGTGCAAATATTTCTAGGAGCCTTTAAAAATCTGCCTGACACCCATCTGGCTGCCTTTATTCAGATACAGTGTGAAGTTTCCAGCATATCTAGTCCTTCTCTAGTTTAATAGATTGAGTTTGAAACCCCASTAACTCTCCATCACTTCATAGGATCTCTCCAGCTAAATATGGCGGGCTGGTAACTTTGAAATCCCTGTAAATTCCTTAATGTTTCAAGTTTCACTACTCCTTCCTGATTAGACATATGACAAGCTCTGGCTTTTCCACTGTTTGGTTTTACTTTCCTTCAGCGATTTTCCCCTTAATCTTGCAGCTCACATCCGCAAGGAAAAGCAAAAAAAAAACAAAAAAAAAAAAAACAAAACAACCCCACGCATTCTCTGAACTTCTGCTAAATAAAACCAGCTCGTATAAACCCCCTTAGAGGTCCAAGAAATCTTGTGATAAAGCCGAGTTGTGCGGTGCAAACTCTTCAATTTCGGCTGAGAATGCGAAAAGCCGCGTATTTGCCAGGAGAGGGCAGGAGCGTCGCGCAGAGCCCGATCCGCAATGGGATCCGCCGGGATGCGCTCCCGCTTCCCAAAAAATCTCCTGCTTTCAACAGGAGCGGGGAAAGCGGGGCCGGGGGAGGGCAGCGAGCGGGACAGGTTGCTAAGGGTCTGCTGAGCATTCTGGGGAGTGGGAAACGGAGAATTAATGTTTGCCGGTAATTCTCTGGGTAGAAATGTGAAGGAGAAAGTGTGGCCTCCTCCAGGGTCTGTACTGGGGTTGGTGCTGTTTGATGTTGTTGGTAGGAACAGGACAGCGGGATTGAGGGCACCCTCAGCATGTCACCGAGGTCAGGGCGATCCCAAGCACAAATACAGGCTGGGTGGAGGGTGGAGTTAGAGCTGAGATGAAGGATTTGGGAGTGTTGGTGGACCAGAGGCTCAGCGTGACCCAGAAATGTTCACTCAGAGCTCAGGGAGCCAAACACATCCTGGGCTGCAGCACCAGCACCCAGGGGAGCAGGGGAGGGGYGATTCTGGCCCTCTGCTCCACTCTCGTGGGCAGTGCTGTGTCCAGCTCTGGGGTCCCCAAYRTAACAATGTCATGGAYKTGYTGGAGTGGGTGCAGAGGAGGTCACAAAGATGCTCCGAGTCCTGGAGAGCCTCTGCTCTTGGGACAGGCTGGGAGAGCTCWGGCTGTTCAGCCTGGAGAAAAGGCTCCAGGGAGACCTTAGAGCTCCTTTCAGTGCCTAAAGGAGCTCCAAGAGAGCTGGAGAGGGACTTYGGRCAAGGGCCTGGAGTGACAGAGCAAGAGGAATGACTTTAATCTGAAAGAAAGTAGGGTTRGGTTAAATACCAGGAAGAAATTCTTCCCTGTGAAGGTGCTGAGAGCCAAAGAAGCTGTGGCTGCCCCATCCCTGGAAGTGTTCAGTGCCAGGTTGGACGGGGCTTGGAGCAGCCTGGGACAGTGGAAGGTGTCCCTGCCCATGGCAGGGGGGTGGGACTGGATGATCTTCAAGGTCCCTCCCAATCCAACCCATTCAATTTTTATTAAAAAATTCTAATTGTGTCAAAGAATTTCCAGGTGGYAGTGGAACAAGGGGTAAAGTCAATCAGGGGGTGTTCTCAAAACCATTACTGTTACCAACTGGCACTGGGCATTTGTTCCATTCCTTTCTAGAACGCGGCAGGAAGAGAAATTCAGTGATCCTGGGTGTGTTTAATCTAAATAGCGCCGTGGTTGCCTTTGCTTCAGGGATTGTCTGTTTGCACACAAGATTGCTGATCTGAGCCTCAGAAACATTTGCTTCATCTCCTTCCCCCTTCCCTGAAGACTCCTGGTCTGCAGCAGCGTGTGGATCCCTTTTGTGGAGCTGCCTGCAGAGCTGCTTGGGAAGCCAAACACAGCTCTTGAGATTTATTAAAATGCATTGCTTGCTTTTTGTCAACAGCGCTGATGTCGGGAAGAACAACAGGGCAAACACCTTAATAGGCAAGCCAAGCCTGTGTAGTGTTTATCTCGCACACACACAAAGTTTGGATTTGGCTCAGCTATTGCTGCACAGGCAGTGGTGGTGTTAGTCTGGAATGGTGCTGGAATTAAGGGAAGARGTCTGGATGGCTGCTGGGCTCAGTGCTGAGCCAATTGTCTGCAGGGCTGAACCCTGACCCAGCRCTGAGCATCCCTACGAGTGCAGATCTTCGGGGCAGCGCTGCAGCCAAGGAAAGCTTTTATCTGGCTCGGGCTGGACACGGAGTGAAAGACCCTGTCACCGTGGAGTGCTGTGAGGGCTGGAACTGTGTGTCTGCCGCTCTCCATCCGCACTGACAAAATCAAAGAGGAAGAGGCAGCTCTTCAGGTGCTGTGCTGGGAGAGCGTTTTACAGAAATAGAAACAATTGACCTGGCACTGCCCTCCTGTGGGTAGAGCTGCCTTTCCACAATGCACAGAAGCACCAAAATGCTTCTTCTCCACGCACGGGAGAGAGAGTAGTTTCCTCTTCTGTCATTACTGAAGAACTGCTCAAGTTAGTCAACAATTTTAATGGTATCTGTTTTTTTTTTTGATCTGGAAAGCTATGGCTGCTGTCCAAATCAACTAGGTTTTTTTTTT